TTTATTTTATTTTATTTTATTTTATTTTATTTTATTTTATTTTATTTTATTATTAAAGTTTATTTATTGAGAGAGAGAATGCACACATGCAAATGTGCATGCACAGGGTGGGGACACAGAAGGAGAGACAGAATCCTGAGTTGGGGTTCTATCCCATGAACCATGAGGTCATGACCTGAGCTGAAATCAAGAGTCAGACGCTCAACTGACTGACTGACCCACCAGGCGCTCCAGAAAATTTTGTTTTAGATTTCTCCTTAGATTAATATACTATCTATTAAAAATAAAAGCTTACTAAAAGCATGTCAAAAAAAGGAGAGTTACCAACTAAACACAAAACACAGTAAGGCAGAACTTCCATTTTTTCTTAGAGAAGTTCATTCACCCAACAGCATTGTGCATTTACTGTATGTTAGGTACTGCTTTGCTGTAAGGATACAAACATAAATAGGAAATAGCCGCTCTTCTCAAGGAGCCCACAATCTTTTAGAATCTAATTTTTAGTTCACGGAAATTGAATGAGTCACTGAAGACTAATGTTGCCTTTTTAGTCTGATGTATATAGGATTGAGAGCAAAGCGCCTGTCAAAAAAGGAAACTGAGATAATCCTATTTGCGATCAATGTGGGAGACATAAAAACAATACAGAAGTAATTAAGTGTTCTTTAAGTGTTCTTTTATTGAATACTAACTTGTATATCTTACATTTTAAGAGTACTATATTTTCTTATTCAAAGTTAGAAGAATCGATGGAGATCTAATTCAACTTTGTTATTTTCTAATTAAAAAATTGGAATCTGGAGGGATTAAATGATTTGGCCAGATTCACAACATTTAGAGTAAAATCAGGATCAGAATGGAAGTATTCTGACTCCTAGTGTTTTCTGTTTTTTGTTTTGTATCCACAATGTGTCAAATTGCCTCTTTGTGGAACCTCAGATACATTCTTCTCCCTGCCACCAAATATCTCTACTATAATTCCGTCACTCCTTTAATATAGCTCCTATTTTCACTTACATTTAAGCATTATTTGAGGGTTCATATGTACGTCCTTTCTAATCCAAAGTAGCATATCAGTAAAATCATGAAAGCTTAGATAGGAAAAATTCGAGTCAAGAAGTATAGCTGGTTACTTCAGTATTTCATTTTTTCTTTTTATCATGTGCAGAGCAAAAAGAATGAGCCAGGAAGGTATGTTACACTACTTGACATTGATGAGATCAATGCCTTTTCTCTGATATAAATCAAATTTTGGTGAATGTTAATGCTGCTTTTGAAATTAAATTTTTTTTTTTTAATTTATTTGAGAGTGCATGCGTTCACTCACAAGAGCAGGGGAGGGGCAGGGAGAGAGAGAATCCTAAGTGGGCTCCGCACTGTCAGCACAGAACCTGACATGGGGCTCTGTCCCATGAACCATGAGATCATGACTTGAACTGAAATCAAGAGTTGGATGCTTACTCACTTAGCCACCCACCAGGCACCCCTTGAAATTAATTTCTGAAAAATTAAAATACTAAGTGAGGTTGAAATTCATTTCTGAAGTACAAATGAGTATTGAAAACATCTTTACTTTTTATGGAACTCTAGTGATAGAAATGATTTGTCGTTTCCAGTTATCTCTCAATCTATTAAAATCTATTTGTTTTTATTATGACTTCCTTGGTATTAAAATACGGTGACTGGAAAGAATAACCATAGGATTTGGAATATTCTGGTTCTTAAGGTTTTAATACAGTGAAATTTGTTTCTTTCTCATTCACAGTGGTTTACTTTGTAGAGTGAGTGCAGGAAATGATATGGCATGCCTCACTACTGATTTACTTGCTGCTCTTGGCAAGACGGAACCTGTTTTTACTCCTTTGGTGTTAGCCTTTCGCTACTGGGCTAAGGTAAGTGGAACAGAAGAAAAAAGTACGTATCTTTAAGATAACTCAGGCTTTTTCCTGTACTAACATGTAAGATAAATCATAATATACGGGGATAAAATAGTTATCTGTGCCAGACAGAAAATGATGTGGCAAGTTCTGATTATGGACATGAAAATGAAGTCTCCTAGACATACAGAGTAATTGATATATTTTATTATTCTCCTTTTATGTAGTACAGAAACATTTTCTTTCACATAACAAATGAGGCTCAAGTTTTCACCCTTAATGTAAGTTAAAGTTGTAAGATGTGGTTATGCAAGTTAATGCATAGGTTTGCAAGGTTTTTTTGTTAGCATCTTTTTTCCTGTCTCTGTCTCAGAACATTGTTCTCTTTCCTCTAAGTTACTGATAACCTACAGCAATTTCTACTCGGGTAACTGCTGAGAATCAGTTATCTGTTTCTTAAATTAGAATTAATTTTGAAAGGCTGCGGTATCCTTTGTTGTCATTTCTTTGGTATGGAGGTAAGGAGGAGTGATAAAGTCACTACCATTATCAGTCCAAAAGACTAGAGAGAGAGAGAGAGAGAGAGAGAGAGAGAGAGAGAGAGAGTTTAGCCTTTCTGAGTGTGTTCTTATCAGTATAGTATTCATCAGTTGTTACAGTAGTGATGAGTATAAATTCTCAGTCTTATATAAAGAAGATGGATTAAGGGGTGGTGGTGAAATGAGTAAATTGAGAGCAAAAACTGCTAGAGGATTCTTCTTGGAATTTTTTTGTTTGGACTCTGATAAGAGGATTGAACTCAGGAGTGGGGCAGAACCAGCTGGTTGAGTAAGGAGGAGCAGTCAGAATTCTAAGGTTGGGGTTTTTTCAACTCAAGACCTTTGTGTTTGCTGTTCTCTTCATCTAGAATGTTCTTACTACACATACCCAGCATGGTTACTTTTTTCCTTTTTTCAAATTTTTGCTTAAATTTTACCTTGTCAGGGTTCCCTGACAAGGGAAACCATATATAAAATAGCATTGCCTTCATCATTCTCCCTGTCTTTACCCTGCTTTATTTTTTTCATAGCACTTACTACCACCTGCCATACATATATTTATTTGTTTGTGATCTGTTTTCTTCCATGAAATTGTGAAGTCTGTGAGGACAACGCTAGTAACCAAGGTTTCTCAGAGTGTGGGATGAGACTGGTACATGAAGCATAGCTATCATTCAGGAAACTCAGTGTACCAACTCTGGGAAGGTTAGTGGCTTCATAAGGGATGAAAGTGTAAACAGTAGCCCCTTGGATAATATTTCTTAACTATGTCCTAAGTTTAGTTATTAGAAAATAGTTTCCGTTTTCTTAAGATATTCTTAAAAATTTTTTTTTTCAACATTTATTTATTTTTGGGACAGAGAGAGACAGAGCATGAACGGGCGAGGGGCAGAGAGAGAGGGAGACACAGAATCGGAAACAGGCTCCAGGCTCTGAGCCATCAGCCCAGAGCCCGACGCGGGGCTCGAACTCACAGACCGTGAGATCGTGACCTGGCTGAAGTCGGACGCTTAACCGACTGCGCCACCCAGGCGCCCCGATATTCTTTTATTCAACTAAGGTAGACTGTGTGAGAAGAATATGAATGATATTCATACAAGTTACTTTCATTTGGAAAAAAAAAATGTAGTCTATTAACTTTGTTTCCTAAAGTGGCTCTTAGAAGATTTCTCAAACTTCTGTTGATTCTGAATGTACTAGTCAATGAAGTACACTAAAAAAATGCAGTATGAAGCTGGTTAAGAGTGGCTCTTTTCTATTAGATCCAACAGAACAGTGTGCCTGATTTTTGGCTCTTGTGTTGGTTGCAAAGAGCTTTTTTTCATGGTTTTCATTTGCTGAGTTTATTGTAAGAAACCTAGAAATAATTCCTGGTGTATTTTTTCTCTCAAAGTCTTTTTTTAAAACAGCTTTATTTATCTTGAGGTTTTAAGCCACATTGTACATTTTATAATAAAGCACAGATTTTCCACAATTTGAGAGTTCAGAAAAATTCTAGTATATGAATATAATTTATTCTGTAACTGATGTAATGAAATTGCTCTAGACTATTCTCTGGCTGTCTCCTCTCTTAATTTTAGCCTCCCAGTAATAGGAAATAGTTTTTAAGTAAAGCCTTTTAAAACTATTTAGCCTTATCAGCCCTTTATAGTCAAGTTTCCTGACTCAGAGTCACTTTTCTTTGGTTAGCATAAGAATTAGGGGCGCCTGAGTGGCTCAGTTGGTTGAGCGTCCGACTTCGGCTCAGGTCATGATCTCACGGTTCATGAGTTCGAGCCCTGTGTCAAGCTCTTTGTGGACAGCTCAGAGACTGGAGCCTGCTTCAGATTCTGTGTCTCCCTCTCTGTCTGCCCCTCCCCACTCATGCTCTGTCTCTCTCTCTCTCAAAAATAAACATTTAAAAAATTTTTAAAGAAAAAATTAATTTTAGCAGTATTTGACATCTGAAAGAAATTCTTGGAGACCACTACATGGAAAAAAATGAAACTGGACCACTTTCTTATACCATACACAAAAACAAACTTAACATGGATTAAAGACCTAAATGTGACACCTAAAACCATAAAACTCTTAGAAGAAAACATAGGCAGTAATGTCTTTGACATCAGCCTTAGCAACCTTTTTCTAGATGTGTTTTTTTAGGCAAGGGAAGCAAAAATAAAAATAAACTATCAGGACTACACCAAAATAAAAAGGTTTTGTACTTATAAGGAAACCATCAACAAAATAAAAAGGCAGCCCACTGAATGGGAAAAGATATTTGCAGATGATGTATTTGATAAGTGCTTAATATCCAAAATGTGTAAAGAACTTTTACAAGTCAGTACCAAAATACCAAATAATCCAGTTAAAAAATGGGCAGAGGACCTGAATTGACATTTTTCCAAAGAAGACATATAGCTGGCCAACAGATGAAAAGATGCTCAATATCACTAATCATCAGGAAAATGCACATCAAAAGCGCCATTCCAAAAAAAAAAAAAAAAGCACCATTACACTGTCTTATCAAAAGATAAGAAATAGCTGGTGTTGGTGAGAATGTAAAGTAAAAGAAACCTTCTTGCAAGGTTGATGGGAATGTAAATTGGTGCAGCCACTGTGGAAAATAGTATGGAGGTTCCTCAAAAAATTAAAATCAAAAGTACTATACAATTCAGTAATTCCACTCCTGGGTATTTACTCAAAGAAAAAGAAAACACTCCAAAAGACATGTGCACCTCTGTGTTTATGGGCATTATTTGCAATAGCCAAGATAAGGGAGTGACACAACTATCCATTGATAGATGAATGGATAAAGAAGATTGTGTGTGTGTGTGTGCACGCACGTGTGTGTACACATACACAATGAAATATTACTCAGCCATTAAAAAAGAAAGACCTTGCCATTTGTGATATCATGGATGGTCATAGAAGGCATTATACTAAGTGAAATAAGTTAGGCAAAGAAAGACAAATACAATATGATTTCACTTATATCTGGAATCTAAAAAACAAACAAAAAAAGAAGGAACAGGCCTATAAATACAGAAAACAAACTGGTGGTTACCAGAGGAGAAGAGGGTAGGGTGATGGGCAAATTGGGTGAAGAGGAGTGGGAGGTACAGGCTTTCGTTTGTGGACTGAATAAGTCACATGAGTGAAAGGTATAGCATTGGGACTATAGTCAGTATAGTCACTTGTGGTGTGCATAGCATGACATATAGAGTTGTTGAATCACAGTGTTGTACACCTGAAACTAATGTAATGTGTCAGTTATAATTTAGTTTAAAAAATTCCGGAGGCCCAGCTGACAGGCAATTAAAAAATACTCATACAAGGATAAAAAAGAGATCCCTAGGCAGGGAGGGTGTGTGTGTGTGTGTGTGTGTGTGTGTGTGTGTGTGTGTGTATAAATACAACTTGTACAACTTGATAATTTGATATATGTATTAATTGTGAAATAATCACCAGTCTGTTACCTGTCATAGTTACCTTTTGTGTGTGTGTTGAGAATGCTTGGGATGTACCTTCCTAGCAAATTTTAGGTATATACTAACAGTAGTATTACCTATAGTCACCATGCTATACATTAGATCACCAGAACTTACTCATCTTGTATAACTGACATTTTGTATCTTTTGACCAAATTCTCTCCATTTCCCTCTCCTCCAGCCTCTGGTAATCACCATTCTAATCTCTCTCCTCCTTTGAGTTTCACTGTTTTAGATTCTGCACATAAGGGAGATAAGCATTTGTCTTACTATATTTAGTTTCTTTCACTTACCAAAATGTCCTGTAGGTCCATCCACATTATTGCAAATGAGAGAATTATCTTTTTTAAGGCTGACTAAGATTCCATTGTATTTGTATACCAATTTTTCTTTATCTCTTTATTTGTTGATAGACTTTAAGGTTGTTCCCACAGCTTGGCTATGAGATCCCTGTGTTTTAAGAGCTCTCTCTTAAACTACCTCAATGTTACTCCTCTGTGAGATGTCCAATAGTGTTAACAGCATACATTAACAGTTTCTTACAGTAGTTAACTTGACTTAGTCATTAGGCCATTACTCCTGTCATAGTACTCTGGAGAAATGAGAATTTATTCTAGTGGAATAGTTGAAGCTCTTATTTTTTTTATTTAATTAAAAAAATTTTTTAATGTTAATTTTTGAGAGAGGGAGAGAGAGAGAGACTGAGTATGAGCGGGAGAGGTGCAGAGAGAGGGAGACACAGAATCTGAGCAGGCTCCAGGCTCTGAGCTGTCAGTTCGGGGCCTGACGTGGGGCTCAAACCCATGAGCTGTGAGATATGACCTGAGCTAAAGTTGGACACTTAGCCAACTGAACCACTCAGGCGCCCCTATTTAATTTTTTAAAAATGTTTATTTATTTTGAGAGAGAGCGTGCATGTGTGTGCAAGCAGGGGTGGGACAGAGAGAGAGGGAGACAGAATCCCAAGTGGAATTGTTAGCTGTTAGTGCAGAGCCTGACACAAGGCTCAAACTCATGAACCTGTGAGATCATGACCTGAACCGAAATCAAGAGTCAGACACTTAACCGACTGAACCACCCAGGTGCCCCAGATTGAAGCTCTTGTTATAAGTGTTCTTTATCCTTTCATTTTTAATTGTACTTTTTTTTTCTTTTTTTAAGTAAGCCATACACCTAATATGGGGCTTGAACTCATGGCCTCAAGATCAAGAGTCATATGCTCTACTGACTAATCCAGCCAGGACTCTGTATTCTTAAATTTACTAAGCCATTAAACTATAGTGATTATTATCTTTATCGTATAAATAAGAGAATGAAAAATAAAAAGTAAAAAAAATCCAAGTATAGACTAATCTTACTTATGTAGATGCAAAAGTCTAGATGAAATATAAACAAGTGGAATACAAAAGGTTATATGCCATGACTATGCAGGATTTCAGGAATATACGAAAGGTTTAATATCAGGAAACCTCTTAACATAATTTATTATATTAACAGTTTGAAGTGGAAAAAAACATGGATGCTGAAAAGGCGTATTCTTCATAAAAAAAAAGCTCTTAACTAGTAGTGGAAATTAATAATAAAGGCTGTTTACTAAAAAAAATAAACATCATTTAAATCGTGAATTACTCAAACCATATGTGTTAGAATTAAGAATACGACAGAGAAGTTCACCAGTGAAGTTGTACATCGTTTTGGGAGATTTAAAAAATAAAATAAGAAAATGAAATGAAATAATGTATATATTGGAAAAACAGTAAAATTTATTAATGATATGATTGTATACCTGCAAAACTTTAGTTAAAAAACTATTGGGATTAGGGGCGCCTGGGTGGCTCAGTCGGTTAAGCATCCGACTTCAACTCAGGTCATGATCTTGTGGTTTGTGGGTTTGAGCCCCACGTTGGGCACTGTGCCGACAGCTCAGAGCCAGGAGCCTGCTTCTGATTGTGTGTCTTTCTGTCTCTCTGCTCCTCCCTCACTCACACTGTGTGTGTGTGTGTCTCTCTCTCAAAAATAAACGTTTAAAAAATTTTTTAAAAATTATTGGGATTAATAAGGGAATTTGTAAGATGACTAAATATGCAATAATTGGTTTTCTCTGTCATAAAAATAACCTGGTAGAGTGTAAACAAAAATATTACCTTTGTGACCATGTCACAAATTATAGAATACTAAAGAATAAATTTAATAACAAGGGTACAGGAAGCAAATTATATTATTGATAGGTAAAAGTGAAATCCGAACAAATTCATTTATTCAGCAAACATTTGTTAAATGCTTCCTATGGGCCAGATACTATTCTAGGTGCTGGAAACATCTAACAAGATTATGTAGGGTCCTGCTATCAGGAAGCTCACATATTTGTGGAAGAATCAGCCAGTAAATATATAAGTAACACAATATCTGGTAGAGTTTAGTGCTGTTGATACGAGAGTGACATTACACTAGATGGTTAGGGAAAGTGATATTTAAACTCAGAGCATGAGTAACCAGCCACTTGAAAGTCTGAGGGAATAGCATCCAACAAATAGCTAGTACAAAGCTTCTAAGGTACAAATGAGTTTGTGAGGAACAGAAAGGAAGGCAGGAGTGGCTGGAATGAAGCAAGTGAAAGTTCTTGTGGTAAGGAATTTGGATTTTCATTGTGGCGAGAAAGCACGGGAAGAGTTTTAAAAGTGGTGTATGACTTGATGTGATTTATGCTTTGAAAAGATCTTTCTGGGGTAAAGATTATAAATAGGGAGCCCAGTAAGCAGGCTGCTGTAATATATCAGCCAGAGGTGATAATGGTCTTTGCAGGGTTAGAATGGATATGAAGCATAGCAGACTCATTTGGGATGGTTTTGGAGGTAGGACTTGTAGAGGTATTGGATATGAGAGTGGAGGGGAAGTGAGTAATTGATGACAACTCCAAAAATTTTGGAAAATGTAAAGATACAAAGATGTCAGATAGGGAAATGGTACCCTTAAAATGTAATATTGCCTTAATTTAATTTTCAAATGTACAGTAGTTCTAATTACCAAGAGTTTTTTTAAAAGTTGATAAAATGATCTTAAAGTTAATATGGAAGAATGAGAATAGCCAAAAGAATTCAAAAAGAGAAGACTAGTGAACGGGACCTACTTTACCACTATAAAACTGCTTTAGTCAAGTATATGCCATTGCCGTAGGGATAGACAAATAGATCTGTGGAACAGAATAGAAGGCCCAGAAGTAGATCCTACTGTAAATTAAATTTTAATGTAATGAAAAAATAAAAGATTTCAGTGATAAAACAATGGTTTATTTGTTAAATGGTGGTGTCACACTGTATATTTCTTAAAATAATGTTGGATCCTTAGGACACTAAATGCAAAAATAAATTCTACTTAAATGAAAAATCAAAATTTTAGAAGAACACTTAAGAGTATGTATATGTTGTCTGTAGTTTGGAGTAACCTTTTTGCCATGATAGGAAACCTTGAAGCTATATTACATAAGCATATTTATATGTGCATTAATATATTTTATATGATAAAAACTACCCTAAATAATGTCAGAATAAAAACAGATTGGGAAAAATAACATTGTTGAAGTGCATATATCAGCTATAAAGGGTTATTAACTATAATGTAAAATGAATCTATACAAATTGATAGGCAGTGCATGCAAATAGAAAAATTGGCAAAAGATTCAATAGGCAGTTCAGAAAAGAGCAAATCTAAATGGTTACTAAACTTACGAAAATTGTATAATCTCTTAGCATTGAGGAAATGCAAATTGAAATAATTCTTAGATAATTACATCTTATACATCCTATTGGCATTTTTAAAAAGTGGTAATACTTAGTGTTGGAACATGTATGTGTACACTCATGTTACTGGTGAAAAGAAGAATTTTTGTAGTGATTTTGGAAAACAATCTTATTTATTAGAATTCATATATATCACACATTTTTAAATCCAGTACACACAGTTCTGGGAATATAGCTCATATAAATAAGCACTAGTAATTAGGAAATATATATAAGGATAAAATATATTACAGCATTGCTTAAAATGGCAGTAATTGGGAACAGAATATAAATATCTTTGCTGGGGAATCTGTTGAGTAGCCATCCAGATTGTAGACTATAATTTAAGCATTTAAAAGAATGTATTAGATGGGGTACCTGGGTGACTCAGGCGGTTAAGTGTCCAACCCTTGATTTTGGCTCAGGTCATGATCTCACGGTTTGTGAGTTTGAGCCCCATATCAGGCACTGCATGTCAGCGTTCTCTCTCTCTCTCTCTCTCTCTGTGTGTCTCTGTCTCTCTGTCTTTCTCTCAAAATAAATAAATAAACTTAAAAAAAATGTATTAGATCTGTACTAATTGACTTAGAGGAACTTTGTACATTATTAAGGGAGAAGAATATATACAGAATATACAGAGACATGTCTATAATACACAATTTTGGTAAGAGTGACATAAAACAAAATATTTCCTGCATTTATATAGAAAATAGGAATATATTTGTATATGATTACTAGAGTATAGATAGAGAAAAAGGCATGAAAGAGTATATAGAATATTGTTAACATTGAGGCAGAAGTAGAAGCAAGATAAAATAATATTTTAAAAATGTGTATACAGTAAAAGCACTATGTATGATATTCCATTAAACTAAAATATATATGTGACTTTATATACAATAAAGAAATGAATGGAAAGATCAATATGTTAATTTTATCTCAGGGTAGTGTGATTTCAGGTCATTCCTTAT